CCTTTATTTTTTTTTTTTTTTTTTTTTTTTTGGTGCTTAGGATCAAACGTGGAACCTTGCACTTGGGAGGCAGGTGGAGACACCACTAAGCTAAATCCCCGGCCCTACCCCTTAATACGTAATAGTCTTTCTGGGCTGGGGATTTAGTTCAGTGGTTCTGGGGATTTAGTTCAGTGGTTCTGGTGCCTGCCTCACAAACGCAAGGGCCTGAGTTTGAACCCCAGTACCAAAAACAAAACAAAAAAAAATTAGTCTTTCTAAAACTAAGGGCAGTGTTTTAAGTACTACAGTATAATCACTGTCAGAAATCAGGACCCATACAAAATAATCGCCTAATCCCACGCTGTCTTCAAATTTTGCCAGTTGCCTCACTACTGTCCTTTATGGTCCAGGATCATTTTTCAGCAGTACAGGCCAAACAAGTTGAGTTTGTTTTATATTCCTTTATAATGAGATTTATTTATTTATTTTTGGCAGGATTTGCTTAGAAATATTGCTATGCTGTATTTAATGTAAGAATACATTAAGAAGAATATAATACCAACTTGTCTCCTTACTGAAGTTGTTCACCTTATCATATGATTAATATGTTAGCCAAGTTTCTTCAGTATAAAGTTCATTATCAACTTTTTATAATAATGTACATGAGCCCTCTGCAATAACCGTTTGCCCTCTCTGTTTATTATTATTATTTATATTAGTATAACTTCTTGGATTTTTTTGCCAAAGAATTACAGTCTGTGACTATCATTATTTGATTTGACGCTCAGATTGACCCTTTTGAAGCTGGCCTCGGTGTCCTTTTGATGCCCTGTGTCCTTTTAACATTCTCTGAGCACTTCCTTAACATTTAATAGATATTCTAAACTAATCTAGTATGTTTCTTGTGCAGCCTGGATGTCAGTCAGTTTTCCAAGGAGCCCTGGAGAATAGTATTAAAATACAATGACACTAGGTGTGCTTCTTGCTGTCTTGCATAAGAAACACACACACACACACACATGCACACACACGCACGCACACACATATGCACATTTTTCTACATTTAAAAAATGTCTTCATTTTAAAAAGGCAGTGATGACACTGTACCATTTTCACCTGTTCCAGTTTAATATCATAAAGTTTATTTTTACTTTATATGTATATTTGTAATTTCCATTTTCAGTTTGGAATTTCCAACTTCCAGGTGAAGTATCTGATCATGTTTTGTTCAGTGTTCTTATTTGCTTGATTCTTAATGTATGTAGCCAATATTCTGGCTAAGTCACAGTCGACATGTTACTGCAGCTCATCCTCACTGGTCACAGGAGCTGATATGTATTATTTTTTAAAGATAACTAACTCATGTGTAGAAGTTTTATAATATCTGTTTAAAAACTTTAAGACTTTGTTTGAAATTAATTTTGCTTCTAAATTTTTATTTGGGTATATTTTATATATTAAAGGCTTAATATTTAATAATTCATTTGTTGATAGAATATGTCATATTTTCAAATGACCAGGAAGATTTTATAATTTGATCTATTGATAAGAAATGTGCCATATATAATTATTGTAAAATGTGATACCTTTTTACCTTTAAGTTAGTAGAGCTGTTTGGGAAGAAATGGTGAATGCTTGCTGGTGTGGTCTTCTTGCTGCACTCTCACTCCTCCTTGATGCCAGGTATTAAGTCTTTGTAAGTTTTATATTGTATTGCAGCAGTTAAAACAAACATTTAAAAAATTTACTTAAATTTGTACCAAGAATTTATTTTCTAATATTAGTTTTTTGAATGTATAAACATTCTTACTATTTATTTGTATGTACTTATGGAATACAGTGTAATATTATAGTACATGTATACAGTGTATAATCAAATCAAGGTAATTAATATTTCTTAAGAACATTCTTTTTCTCTCACCCCCTCCTTCATTGTCTCTTTGCCTTGCGCTTCCACCAGAATTGTAATGTTTTAATGGAAAATACAGTTCTCACATTACAGAACACCTGTTCAATTGAAGATTTACTACTACTTTTTCAGTGATAATTATATTCAATTTCTTTAATGTTTTCCTTCAGGATTGCAGAATTTACTACTTTTAAAATGCTTGAGATTTATATATTTTGGGGGGCGATAAGACAGCATCTTGTTATGTAGCCTAGGCTGGCCTCAGACTCAAGGTGATCCCTTTCCTTCAGCCTTCCAAGTGCTGTGATTTACAGGCATGTGCCACCATGCCCAGCTAGAAATTCTTGATATTTTAAATTAAATCTTTAAGTTCTTGATCATTTTAATCAATAATAAATACACATATATTGTAAAATGTGTTTACTTAGTTAAAACTTTCAGATAACTCTTAAAATTCCTTCTGAAATATATTGATTTTTTTTTCTTTTTATTGAGTATATTGGTACATTCTAGGTATACAGTACAATTACATTCATTACTGAGATCTTGTACCTTTACATGACAGGTCTTGGTTCTCATTTTTTCCCCTTGTCCCTACCCTCCCTTCACCCCCTCCTCTCCTCCCCATTTACAAACACTTTATTTCCATTTTGAAATATATTGATTTTTGACAGTATTTTTTGTAGATTTTCTTAAAACTTCATTGGATACCTAATTCCACATCATGTATTACAATATAATTTAAAATGGAATAATCAGATCAAATAAAATACCTTATCTTTTCAGCACAGATGAAGCTGCCACTGAGAATATTTTAAAAGCTGAACTGACCATGGCTGCTCTTTGTGGAAGACTGGGTCTTGTAACTTCAAGAGATGCCTTTATAACTGCAATATGTAAAGGTTCCTTACCTCCACATTATGCTCTTACTGTATTGAATACCACCACCGCAGCTTCACTTTCTAATAAATGTAAGACTTAAGGTTACACCAAGTTCTCTCCATCCTGTGGGGTGATGGCATCAAGAAAAGGTGATGGGAATTCTGAATTGAGGCTTCTTCTGTTCTATTCACAGACTGTGTGGCTGATGAAGTAACATGCTTATGAGCATCAGTTTCTTCCATCCCTTTACAAAAATAGGAGTGGAGGAAGAATATAATAATACCAATCATAAATAATAATTGTGCAGATAAATCTGGAATTCTTTTGTAAACAATACTATTGAAATAGTGGGTCTTTGCTTTTTGGGTTTTTTTTAATGGAACTAGTAGAACAGTAATTCTTGCAGTCACTTCGACTAAGCTGACATTCAAAAATATATTTCCTCTTGAATACTTTGAAAATAACTAGATTTGTTATAGGTGATATTAAATATATTTTAATGTGATAATTCAGTTTTCATACTGAAAGTGTGTTGGTCACTAATTTGAAAAGTATAATGTTTAAAATGCTTAACGTGTCCTAATTGTTTTAAATGTGAAGAAAACTACCAAAGTCTTACAATTTTTATAATTTATATAAATCGTTTTACTTAACGTTTGCTTAAGTTATCTTGGATTTTGTACCTTGTGAACTTTCACAGTGATTACATATAGATAATATTAATGATGTTTAAAGAAGTGTTATGGTGGAACTAATCAAATTAGTAGTTTTAAATATTACTTTGAGTGCAATATGAAATACATATTTTACTTATTCAGGCTTTCCTTTGTATTCTAGCATATTCTATTCAGGGCCAAAGTGTTATGATGATCAGTCCATCAAGTGAGTCTCACCAGCAAGTTGTGGCAGTGGGTCAACCTCTAGCAGTCCAGCCTCAAGGGACAGTAATGGTAAGATATTTGTCCTTTCTTTGGGTACCAGTTAACTCTCAAGGAAATCTCTTGGAACTTTTTTGGTTGGAATATTTACCAAAATCTGTCATTACACTTACTTCTTTTACCTAGAAGGTATTTTTAGAAGAAACTCTTTAGCTATGTAGTTGATATCACTATGGTCAATAAGAATAACACAACTTTTAATCAAATGAATTTTTTTAAAACATTTAACCTAGGGCCGGAGACTTAGCTCAGTGGTTCTGCTGCCTTCCTCATAAGCACAAGTACCTGAGTTCAATTCTCAGTACCAAAAATAAATAAATAAAACAAATATTTAACCTGTTTTATTAATAATTTTGTTTTTTAACTTTAAAAAATCTTTGAATACACTACTACTACTTTATAATATTTTAATTTTTAAAAATGCATAACAATTCTTGCAAATAAATCCTTTTTCAATACAGCTCACTTCCAAAAATATCCAGTGTATGAGGACTCTACTTAATTTGGCCCATTGCCATGGGGCTGTCCTTGGAACATCATGGCAGCTTGTCTTGGCAACTCTTCAGGTATGTTGTATGTGGTGGGTTAGTGTTGTTATGTGTAATTACTAACAGTTAAACTAACCAGTGCCTATGGGTGCTTTACAATGGTGTAGGAAGTAGACAATAAGCATTAAAAAAGAAGTTGGAAAGGAATAAAAGACATGGCTCATATTGTCGAAAGTGATAGAGTGCTTCACATAATGATACAAATCCTGCTGAATGTGCTTGGTATAATTATTTATATAAAAAATTGATTACTGATTTTAATATTAATTACTGGAAACTTACTGATTTTAGATTTAGTTATTGAAAGTTACAACTGATTTTATTTTGTTTTAAATTTTCAGCATCTTGTATGGATTCTGGGATTAAAGCCTAGTAGTGGTGGTGCCTTGAAACCTGGAAGAGCTGTGGAAGGACCCAGTACAGTAAGCTCCAGTCCTTCTTACCAAATTAGTGGTTGCACAAATGTCATGTTACATTACTTTTATGCTTTTCTTAGGTTCTAACAACAGCAGTGATGACAGATTTACCAGTGATTTCCAATATACTTTCCAGACTGTTTGAAAGCTCACAGTAAGAGTAATTTTTTTTAATGAATAGAAACATTGTTATCAGCTATATATTTTAAACTGAAATGTCTAATTTCTTCATTTTCATTTTAGGTATCTTGATGATGTATCATTGCATCATTTAATAAACGCACTTTGTTCCTTATCTCTAGAAGCAATGGAGATGGCCTATGGAAATAATAAGGTATGCTATTCTACTTCTCAGTTTTAAATATGGTACATTATATAAAGCTATGTAAAGTGTACATCTATTATATTTATATAACATGTATGGCTATTATAATTTTTGTGTTTTACTAGTGGGACTGAGTTTGTTTATTAATAGCACTCTGTTGAATTAACATTTATGGTTATCTGTAGAAGGGGGGTAGGAAAGAGAACGTGATTTTGCTTATGATATATGTAAGTATGAAGTATGTTTTAAAATTCCGTCCATTTTTTTGGGTACTAAATATTCTTTAAAATGTTTTTATAAAGAATTATGCAGCACAAGCCGGGCGTGGTGGCGCATGCCTGTAATCCCAGCACTCGGGAGGCTGAGGCAGGAGGATTGCTGTGAGTTCGAGACCAGCCTGAGCTACATAGTGAGTTCCAGGTCAGTCTCAACTACATAGTGAGACCCTGTCTCAAAAAACAAAAAAACAAAAAAACAAAAAAACAAACAAAAAAAAACAATTATGCAGCACAGTTTTCACACAGATTCCATTAAATATCGTGGTAGTATTTGTGATTAAAATTTATAATATGGACAGTATAAGATTCAAATTAAGGAATATGTGTCTCAGTTTCTCTTTTTCATTGCAATGGAAAATAAGGAGCTAGTCATTTCTTTCTGAAGATAATGATTATCTTAAAATTGAACTTTTCTTTGTTGATTAAATAAATAAAGCAGTACTTTAGAATATTAACATTTAGAAACATTCAAAATATATACTTGGAAAACACAAAACTTTGGACTTCATTATATTTTAAAATAATTATTAGCCAGGCATAGTGGTGCACACCTGTAATCCAGCACTTGGGAGGCTGCAGAAGATCCTGCTCAACTTGGCAAGATCCTGTCTCAAAATAAAACTTTTGAAAAGACTAGCCCAATTTGGAGGAATTCTATTTTAGGATCTAATTTAGTACAGTAAAATGGTAAGTATTAGAATGGAAATAAAAGCCTTCTAAAAAATATTCAAAAAAGATACAGGCTCTGGATTCAATTCCCCAGCACCCTCCAAAAATATAAACCTTATAAAAGTAGTAGTTAAAATAGACCTTTATAAAAATATATCTAGATCGAAGCTTTTTAAAAGTTCATTATTTATGACATCTATAAAATTATTAATATGCAAATATTAAAATAAATGTTTTCTGCAACTGTGTCCACTGTTTTGAATGTGTTCAACATTATAGAACTCTTTAGGAATTTTTCAGGTCATCAGCATCTCATTTTTGGTTTGCATTTCGAGAGTTTGTGCTAATGTGTTGAAAAAGGAGCTTACCATAAAGCTTTTAATTCTTTTTAGAAGTTGATTCTGATTATATATACACCTAATATCCAGCTTGGTATCGCAGCAACAAAAATATTAAAACAGCTATTTTATTATAAGAACTAACTTATTTTAATTAATCATTTTCTCATTTTTTAGTTCATGCTTGTGATATTTAACAAATATATTTTGGCCTGTTAGTCTGGCTGTTAATCTGTATTTATAATTAACTTGATGAGAACTTACAAAACAAATAATTAAATCTGATGCTGGAAAAAAAATTTTTAAAAACAGGGTGGGAAGGAAGAGGGGAAGAATTGAGATGTGTTAATGTACATATACCAATTCCCCATGATGAATGTAGTCATTGAATACTGTAAACATGTACTAATAAATATAAAAAAATAAAAATAAATTAACAAAATAAAAACAGAATAAACCCCCAGATACATTCACCATGGAATATTAATCATTTAAGACAACTCTGAGGTTCCATGGTAGTCTTCACTTTTTACAGATGAAAGCATGAAAATAAGAGAGCTTAAGTAATTTTCCTGAAACCACCTGTTTGGTAATTGAAAACTTTTGAGTTTGAACCCATTTATTTCTCATTCCAAAGTTTCATTCTTAACCACTTTGCAAATGGCTCTAACTTTAGAATGCATCAAAGTCAGTCACGGAGGTTATAAAAATTGAAAATGTTGACTACATTCTAGGACACTTGAGTAAAAATCTTCAGTGTGAATCCTAGGTATCTGTTGTTTATATGGAATACGTGATTCCTGTGTATACCTTGGCTAAAATAAGGAGGAAGAGAAGGAAAAAGTAATACTAAGCTTCATTTGGAGGGACTTATGTGCCAGGCACTTCTGGCATGAGGTAGTTTTTATATTATTTTTATTTCCATTTTAAAGGCTTAAAATCAGAGGTAGGAACTCACCCAAGGTAAAGTAGCTATTAAATGGTAGAGTCAAGATGAGATCTTAGACATTTAAAACTTTACAGACGTTAGTTTTAACCGCTATACCATATCATCTCTAGAATCATGAATTTTCCTGTCACCCAAAATTTTAGGGTACCTACACATTATTTGAAGAAAGGATCTGCCTAATATTTGTCTTAAAACCCCAGTGGACTTAGTTTACTGGCTTCTGTTAGGAAAGAAAGATGCTGTCAAAAACTCCTTACTAGGTTTTGGTTCTCTCTCTCCTTTTTTTTTGGTACCAGGGATCAAATTCGGGACCTTGCGCTTACGAGGCAGGTGGTGGAACCACTGAGCTAAATCCCCGGGCCATATTACATTTTTATCAATACATAGGAATATAGAACTTAAAAATCTTTAGATTTTTAGATCTTCAGACAAGTTCTCTAATTTAGATTTTCTGTGTCAAGTATAATTTTTGGATTTTTACCCTGTTACTATAAAACATTCTCTTCCTAAAAAAATTTTCTAGTTAGGAGCTATTCTGGATACTTAAAAGATAGCAGAAGGGCTTGTCTTATGATAACAGTTTTGTCATTCTTATTGCTAACTTTATATATGCTAATGAATCATATTTTAATCAGCTATATTCTTCAGAATATTCTATTTTATTTTCAGTCAAAATTTTAAGAATTCTCCTTATAATATTAAAATGTGATGTTTTCCCCCTAGGAACCATCTCTTTTTGCTGTTGCCAAATTGTTAGAAACTGGCCTAGTTAATATGCACCGAATAGAAATTTTATGGCGCCCTCTAACTGGCCATTTACTTGAGGTAAACTCTCATACTTAAATATTATATTTATTTTTTATTAATAAGGGAGTGCACATTAACGATTCTAGATAACCTTTCGTAGTCTCCCTTTCCTGAACTTGTACTTAAGTCTATATGTTTTATTAAGGACTAAAGTTCTATAGTAATTGGTTAGATGAAGTAGTAGTTGTTTTTATTGGCTGAAGGTAGGTGAAAATTTTAAAGTATGAAATCAGTTGTCAGCTTGAAACCCCTTTTTTGCATTATACAATCTCTTGATTCACCTCAGTTTCAGGTACTGAGGTTCTGAAACTTCAGGGGCTGAGGATTAGCAGTGAACACTACTTACAGTTTTGGCTACAACTGTGAGGGAAACTTTGTTGGTATCACTAATTATACATAGTGACAGAGTATTTTATATGAATTTATATTATCTTGTATTCAACTTGGGGTGATCCTTAATAGCTGCTGGTTAATAACCAGCTGCTTCTGTTAATGCATGTATTTGTTGTATACAGTTTAGTTTTAGCTTATAATGGTCATTTTGTTATTTAAAAAAACTTGAGATATTTTAAAATAGATGCAAATTCTTTTATTAATTGGCCCCTCTAATCAAATGCCAACAAATAAGGTTTTAAATTTTTTACCACAGTCTTCTATTATGAACTAAGTTAGAACCTTAATACTAAGGCTTCCTAATATGGGTTCATGGACTCTGGTTTCTATTTCTAGTACCACAAAAGAAAAAAACAAATCAAGAGAAAACAAAAAACCCTTAGTATAATCTTGGTTGCTTTGCTTACTCTGATGATATATCCTTTGCTGTTTTGAAATCCTGTGACCTGTTTTAGTTTCATCTTTTTTCTTTTGTCTTCTTTCTATTGCTTCCTCTTGCCCTTATTCAGAAGGTAAGGTTACTGACATTTTGGATTTTATTTTTCTTCAAACCCTTATGAACATAGGAAGTAATTTTAAAATGTGAAAGCAGAAAATGTAATGTTTTTTCTTTTCTTAAATTAATGTGTGACTCATAGCTTATATGTACAATGTAAATATTTAATTTTTGTTCAATATATGTACCTTCAGGTCTGCCAACATCCAAACTCTCGAATGAGAGAATGGGGAGCAGAAGCTTTAACTTCACTTATTAAAGCAGGATTAACATTTAACCATGAGCCTCCACTTTCACAAAACCAGGTAAAAAGAATACTTAATATAAAATCACCCTCCTGTAGTAATTTTTTCTTAATTTATCAAATAATTGATATTCTAATAGAGGATTCTGTAAAATTTATTAGTCTACTTTGTATGTAGACTGTTTCTCTTACTTAAATCTTTTGTGAATGACAATAGTTCATTACCTACCATTGTTTTTTAAGTATGCAAGTTTCCTTGATGAGGTATTAAAGCGGTCATTTTAGGAAATCTTTGCTTTGGTCCTTACTTGTCTGGCTTTTCTCTCACTGACCATTACATGAGGAGAAAATGAATGTTGGAAACAGCAAGCACAATAAAATAGATTTTCATTTTTAAATTATTTAAACTTTGGGCTGGGGATTTAACTCAGTGGTGCCGCCGCCTTCCTTGCAAGTGCAAGGACCTGAGTTCTATCCCCGGTACCAAAAGAAAAAAAATTATTTAAAGTTAGTTTATGCTTTCAGAGTACACATTTGTCATAAATTCTTTGTCCTGTCTTTGACACTCACATATATCTTATGTAGTTTGAAAACTCCACCAAAGTTTTAGTGATTGAGCACTGAATAGGAATGAGAAATTTAATAAACATTTCCATTGTTCTTATTATATGTGCTGCTGAAGTGAGCACTCCGTTGTTCTTATATCTTGCTGCATTATAATTGTATTCTACGAATTTATTTAATACATAATTACCAAATATAACTCTTGGGACAAAGTGATGAACAAAACAGAAGAGCTCAGTGCCCTTATAGAGTTTATATTTTAATGATTTCATATTTTTTCCTACTATAATTTGAGATTTTTAAAAATGAAAACCCTTGTCCATTTACTGTAATGTCTTCAGTGTCCATAGTGAGAGCTTAATATTTAGTCAGTGAATAAAATAAATGAATCCTTAGGAGAAAGTTAAAAATGAAGTAGGCACTTTCAGATGCTAGAAGGGATAGAACTGAGTTTCTTTTACTCTCCTTAACAAAGTTTGTGTTTTTATATCTTCTTTGTTAATGTCTGGAATACTTACTCATTTTTTTACACATATTATAGCTCTTATTGCATCACACTTGATAATTTTAATTTTAATACATATGAGATATGGCTAGAGATGTGTTCATTTAGTGACTTTCATTTCTATATGTTTCTATAGTTAATATCTTTTAAAGTAAGGTAATTATTCTTTTATTCTGAAACCTAATGTCTTGAGTGTCTCTTTTTTCTCTTACATAAAGATAGAGATAGATTATGATTAGTGATATGATAGATATCACTATCATTATGATAGATAATGATTAGTTTTGAAGAAATCATATTAAATGCTTATTTTAATAGAAAATTTTCTGTTTACCCTGGTGCTCTGAGCAGAGGTGAATTTAAACCTAGAAAACCACAACCTGGACACAGTTCCACATTCCTTTACTTCTAGCACACAGGCGTCTGAGATGGAAGATCACCTGAGTCAAGGAATTTAAGATCAGAGTAGGCAACATAGTCAAATGCTGTTAAAAAAAAAAAAGCAACAACAAAACTTTCCTGTTCTTTTGCACTTCTCTTCCTAATTAGTTTCTTGCCCCTTTCAGAGGCTGCAGTTGCTTTTATTGAACCCTTTAAAGGAGATGTCCAATATTAACCATCCAGATATACGACTCAAACAATTAGAATGTGTGCTGCAGATTCTGCAGAGTCAGGGAGACAGTCTTGGGCCTGGGTGGCCCTTAGTTCTTGGAGTCATGGGAGCAATCAGAAATGATCAAGGGTAAGTGTTTGAAATTAATACACAAAAAGTAATAAAGATAGAAGGCAAATCCATCTTTAAATCTTGCAGTAGTGGTAATTTTTATGCATACCCTTGTTTAAGTCTAGGATCTGTAATAATGTTTCTTAACCCTGCCCCCACTGCTTACATGGAACTTTTAGATACTTTTAGAACTTTTAGGTACAAAGGTATTATTACCTTTGTCTTAAAAGGTTGGAAAAATAGCTATTTGACATTGGTATTAAAATACAAAGTTCTTACTGATAGTAATAAGCCAATCTAACTTAAGAACACATCCATAGACTGAATTTTGTTTTGGTAAAACAAATATTTAGTAAGATATAAAATGGCATTTAGGTAGGGACATTACTTCCTCATATGTCTTAGGAAATGTAAGTCATTGCTTTAAAATGACTTTTATTTTCATTTATTAAACATTTATTCTGTGCTTAGTGTATTCCAAATAATATGTTTGCTAGCTATTTTGGGTACACATACTAGACGCAGAATCCAAGTAAGGAGATAGTTGTTATGCCACAAAATAAGGCTCCAGTGGGAAAGGAGCAGAGCCAAAATTACAAAGGGCCTTGTATGCTTTTATGAGCTACTTGAATTTATTTTGAATACATTTGGAGAACATTTTAGGATTTTTGAGCAGAGGGATGGTGTGATTAGAAATGCATTTGACATACATTTGATGTGAACTTGATACCGCCGTGGCAGAAGAATGAGGGGAGAGAGTGAAACGAAAAAGCCTATGAGTGCTGCTTAGAAATAGGAGGACATGCATTGGACCTATTTAACATATTGGCTGTAGGGGCAGATGGAGACATGGCAATTAAGAATGACTATCCTAGATTTCTGAAAGGCAGTTTGATGGTTGTTGATATCACTAACTAAATAGGGAATACTGAAAGAAGAGCAAATTTTGGAGGGAGGTACATATTTAATTTACAGTAGAATACTAGTGGAGATATTTAATAGATGTTGGGTATATTTGTCTGCAGTGCTGCATTAGGACTCACGCTTTTAAAGGTTTTATAACAGTTATAGTGGTTTTAGATGATTGAGCTACTTGAGACTACTGAGTAAAATTAGAATTTTTATTAATTTTGTGGTAATAATTTTCCTTAAATATAAAATACTGGCTTAGATCAAGTTGAAATTGCTTTTCTCAACTTGCATGCAATGTATAAAATAGGGCATTGTTTTAAGGATGAAATTAATTAACATAGTAATGACATATTGAGCACTCCGTAAGTGGTAGTTATTATACTTGTGCATTTCATTATTTAACACCAAAATTTTTCTTCAGAACAAATTTCTTTCATTTGAAATTCAAAGTTTATTCATCTTGTCAATTAGACGTAGAATTTTACACTCCTTTGGAGATTTAAAGAAGATTCAGTATAGATATAAAAGAATGAGAAACTTGTTTTCATTAATTAGGTAAATGTTGTTTATGTACGTGTGCTAGAAGCCTTGCAAAATAAGGATAGTGGTGGAAAATTAGCTATAGCCAACTTCCCTTATTCATTATCTTCAGTTTTCTGAATACAAATACAGTTAATGAAGCTAACACTTATTTTCTTTTCCTTTTTTAACCTAATTTTATTGATTATTACCTGTGAGTTTAAATTTTTTATTTAATTTGTATATCTTTTACATTTATGTAAATGTTAAAGTACTATATGTTGTACAATATGGAGGATTTTCTTGCTAAAATTTAAAATTTGGCATTGTTCAAATTATTGTAAGGTGAGGGGAGGAAAAGTTGAAGGAAGGAAAATAGGAAAAAAAAGAGGAATCAAGATACATCATGGACTGATACAAATTCCCTATGATGAATGTGATAATTATGTATATATAAATTGTACCAATAAAATTAATTTGAAAAACTAAATTTTTGTAAGGTGTTTATTTTTATGCATTTCTTTTAAATCTATCAGTATATATTTCTTTTGTGTTTTCAGAGAATCCTTGATACGAACTGCATTCCAGTGTCTTCAGTTGGTTGTTACAGATTTTCTACCAACAATGCCTTGCACTTGCCTGCAGATAGTTGTAGATGTTGCAGGGAGCTTTGGACTTCATAACCAAGAACTTAATATTAGTTTAACTTCAATAGGTTTATTAGTAAGTATCATTGCCTTTCTTTTTATAATATAATTTAAAAATTACTGATAATGCAGTTATGAGTGAATGCCAAGCCAATATGGTTTAGGCTATATGGAAAGTTTTTAAATTATTTTTAAGTACCAAGCATATTCTTTCATGAAGATTTAAATAACAATGTAAGGAAAAGCTGGTTAATTGCAGAATATTTGGAATAATTTTGACATATGAAGCTGAAGTTTGATAAGCTTTCGCAAATGGATTTAATAGGCAGATAGTATGTACAAGAGAAATCATTAGTCCTTTCAGTGTGAAGGTTAGCTAATTTTATATATATATAACTTTAATAACATTTTCATAGCCTATTTGTATAGTAAATAAAGCTTCAGTAAAAGTCTGAAACATTTACATAGTCCTGTAGTCTGTCAACTATATATTGGGCATTAAGAGACAATATGTTAGAGCAGAAGAAGACTTAGGCTCTGAAAATTGATATACGTGTCTTTTAACTACATTTGACTTGTTAGTTTTTTAAATTATTGACCTCTTCAGTCTCATTTTAAATATCTTGAATATAGAATAATAAAATCTAGAGTATTGTTACTGTTATGTGAAGTAAGCATAAAGAGAGCTGTTCCACTTTTTGTTGTTGTTTTGTTTTTATGATGCTGGAATTGAACTCAGGACCTTGAACATGGTAGGCAAGGGTTATTTAAAGGCAATTTTAAAAGAATCTTTTAAGTGTATAATTGAGAAGTTTTATAAAATTGAACTTAAAATTGTCTTACAAGCTAGGTAAGTTAATATTTTAATATTTGTATTAGTCAGCTTTTTATTAGTATGATCCCAATACTTGAGGAAAACAGTTTAGAAAAGGAAGGATTGATTATGGCTCATGGTTCCAGAGATTTCTTTCCATGGTTGGCTGGTTCTATTGCTGTAGGCTTGAGGTAAGGCAGAACATCATATTAGAAGGGCCTGATGAAGTAAAGCCACTCATATCATGGCAGCCAGAAAAAGAGAAAGAGAGAGAGAAAGGAAAGAGAGAGAGAGAGAGAGAGAGAGAGAGAGAGAGAGCGCATGAGACTCGGAGAGGGGGTAAGTAAGTGGATTGGGACAGGATGTATCCTTCAAAATCATTCTCCCAATGATCTGTTTCCTCCATCCGTGCTCCATCTCCTAATAGCCCATTCCGCTCTGAATTCATCAATGGGTTAATCCATTGATGAAGTTAGCACCCTTAGCACATGATTCTTTGGGGACACTTTATATTTAAATAATAATACTATTAAAAATGCAATCTTGGAAAAAATATAAGCATGTTATGTATAAAATTGCTCCTAAAGAGTGGTTCAGTGTTAAATTACTACTAGATAATGGCCTCCTTTATTTTACATTTATGTTCACAATATTGATCCTGTTACATTTTTACCATTGGCATAGTTATCACAGGTAAAAGTCATAGGTATGTTTGAAGAAAGTAATCGTCTTTTTTTATATGAAGTTATAAATTTATTGTTAAATTATACCAAGGAATTGCTAATACTTTTGTTATGGTAGTAATGGTATTATAGTTATGTTATTTATAGCTAACATTGTTATATCTAGGTAGTGTGAACATTAATACATTGACGTTCATTATATCATTCTCCTTGTTCTATATAAACTTGAGATTTTTAATAATAAAAAAGTAAAGTTAAAACAAATTGTTCCCCTATATTCTCCTGAAATCAAATCAGAACACTGACAGAGGAAGAAATATTTTCATTGAATGTATTATAGTAGGGTAGAGATTTCTGAAGTAATTTTTTAAAGCTTTACTCTGGAAGGTAAAGCAATCACATTACTTATGTGTGTTTTTTTTTAATCTAGAAATAATGTGATATTTTTCTACTTTTCTTTTTAGTGGAATATTTCAGATTATTTTTTCCAAAGAGGGGAAACTATTGAAAAAGAATTAAATAAAGAAGAGGCAGCACAGCAAAAGCAGGCAGAAGAGAAAGGAGTGGTTTTAAATCGGCCGTTCCACCCTGCACCACCATTTGATTGCTTGTGGTTATGCCTTTATGCAAAATTGGGTGAACTGTGTGTGGACCCCCGCCCTGCTGTCAGGAAGAGTGCAGGACAAACTCTGTTTTCTACAATTGGTGCACATGGAACTTTATTACAACATTCAACCTGGCACACTGTTGTTTGGAAGGTATTGTAAAATAGCTTGGGCTATCAACTTGTAATTGAGATTTGTTTTTACAGTGTATTTTTTCCAATTATATTTGTTTTTTTTTATTTTTAAAGAAGAATATGTATGTATTTGTGTATTTAAAAAGAAAAAAAACTTAGGCTTTATTGTATTTCAGATTGCCATATTGATGTATTTCAAATGTGTCTTCTATTTCAGCTCCATCCCCTGGTTCCACGGATCACAAACCTTAAGTCTCCTTTATCTTTTTTTTTTTAACGAATATTTTCTCTAATTCCTGTTTTCCTTTCAGCAGCTTCATTTTTACCATTCTTGTTGTCTAATTCTCCATGATTTCTTTCTTCCTCATCTCCCCTGCATTCCTTTATCCCTTGTAATTTGATATTGAGGTTGTCCTATGTCAGTTTCTTAAACATCATGGTATGACAATCACCTAGAGGCCTTGTTAAAACACAAGCTGCTTACATTTTTTTCCTCCTTTCCTGCCTAGTCCTCTAGAGCCCTTAATTTTTTTTTTCCCCCTTGGAGTGGAGCTTGAGAATTTGCATTTCAGTCTAATTTCTGGAGGATGCTGTTGCTGCTGGTCCAGAGACCATACTCTGAATACCACAGACATCGTCCATGGACCAAAGGGGAGCTGGCTGCCAAACCTTTTGGCTCAGGCTCAGTTCTCCTCCTACTCATTTTCTGGCTTCTTTAATGCTATTGATGATTTTCTTCTTGAAATTTTCTCTTCCTTTGGCTTCTGTTTCAATGCATGTGTATATTTCTCTATTTATGTCTCTCTCTCTCTCTCTCTCTCTCTCTCTCTCTCTCTCTCTCTCTCTTTCTCCTCCCTCCCCCCCTTACATGTAAACATTCCTGAAGTCCCAACCAGTTCTTGCTTATTGATTTTTTTTTTTAAGCACCTTTTTCTAATCTTGGAACTTTAGTTGTAGACTTAATCTCATTATCGCCTATAATTACATTTTCGCCTGGATCCCTTGCCTTACCTTTGTTTTCTTTTTAACACATTACCTTACAGATGTCCCTTTGATAACTCAGCAAGTCTTAAATGGTGTTCTATCCAGTTTATTTACCTTTTTCAATTTCCATGACCTTAAGGATCAATTTAAGAATATGTGGTTACCTTTACTGGTCAATTTCTTCTAATATGTTGGAATGATATGATGGTCATGTATATTTTTTATAACTTCTGGTTTTCCTAAGTTGCTGCTTATGCTATATTGTCAACCCTTTTAAAGTGACATTTTAATAATATTTAGGTACTGTTTCATTTACTGGACCGAGTTCGAGAATCTTCTACCACTGCAGATAAAGAAAAGATTGAATCTGGAGGTGGCAATATTCTTATTCATCACTCAAGGGATACAGCAGAGAAGCAGTGGGCTGAGACATGGGTATTAACTTTGGCTGGTGTAGCCAGAATCTTCAACACTAGAAGATACTTATTGCAACCTTTAGGTATACATACATATATATATATATATATATATACATTTTCTTTCTCTGATTATGCAAGTAACTTTTGTTAAAGGAAATTTAGAACAGATAGAAGATTCTCTTAGAATTCATATACAGTGTTATTTCTTTTTCTTTTTTTTTTTTGGTACCAGGGATCAAACTCAGGACATTGTGATTGCAAGGCAGGTGGTGGAACCACTGATCTAAATCCCTGGCCCAATGAATCTTAATTTATGATCTTTATGTTTATGTGTGGTGTGTGCATGAGGATGCACATTTTCATTATTTCATTGAGAAAATTTTAATGTCTACCTATTATCTGCTATTGTCTTAAGCACGTTCTCATTGCTGGGACAAAATTCCCAAAACCCACAGCTGAAAAGAGAAGTTTAATTTGGCTCATGGATTTTAGAGGACTCAGTCCACAGTTTGCTGGCTCCAAGGTAGAAAGGGTATGGTTGAGGGATCTGGTGGAGGAAAGGTGTTCACATCATGGCATCCAGGAAGCAGAGAGAGAAGGCACCAGATAGGGAGATATACCCTTCTAAGTCATACCTCCAGTGCCTTAGTTACTTTTCAGGCTAGCCTTGAACTTACTATGTAGCCCACACTGACCTCAAACTTGTGACAATCCTTCTGCCTCAGCCTCCTGAGTGCTGAGATTACAGGCGTGCAGTTTCATGCCTGGCATTAGTTACTTTTCTCTCCTTACTGAGACAAAATACCCGACACCCAAAGTTAAAGGGGAAGAGGTTTATTTAGCTCACAGTTTGTACAGGTTTCAGTCCGTAACTGGCTGGCTCCAAGGCAGGGTAGCATGGCAGACAGGCATTGCAGAGGAAAAATGGTTTGTGGAGGGCAGAAGGTAGCAAAGCAAATAAGACAGGGACCTTAGCTTCTTTCTGCCCCTTTTGTACTCTATCTAGGGCACTGGGATTAGGGTGGTGCCAAACCAGTCAGTGGACTGATTTAGTAATCTCCCACCTTTAATCCCAGCATCACACTCTAGATTCAGCCATCTCTGAAAAAGTCCCACCTGTGACTACATGAGGCTTTGGGGTGATATTTACATACAAGCTATAACATCCAATAACCATCCGCCAGCCAGGCTCCACCTCCTAACAGCAAGTTACTGTAGTGCTTCCATGATCCAGTCATCTTACAGAAGCCCTACCACTGAACACATGAGACATTTGGGGACATTCTAGATCTAAACAGTAACACCTGTCCTTTCGGGGATGCATTGATGAGCAAAATACTTGCTGTCCTGGGAAAGAAGGTGGAACCATAATAAATATAAAATTGTTACAGTGATAAATGCTACAAAGGTGTGTAGTACATTGGTAATTTCAGAGTTTAAGTATTTGGCCTTGCCAGTGAGAGCTGAATAAGCTTTTCTGAGGAAGTGCTATTAACTGAAATCTGCAGGGTAAATAGGAGTTCATCATGCAAAGGAGAGATAAAGTGAGGAGAATCTTACAGGCAAATAGACAGAAGATTGAAGAGGGCTGATAAGGACCCAAGCATGTCTGCAGAACCAGAGTAAAATGAAGAGAATAAGGGAAAGTGTGATTCCCAATGAGTTGTAGAGGTAAAGAGAGGCCATCCCCCTTAAAATGTGTGCAGAAGTTAGGATTTCAACTTGAGGGGCAAAGAAAAAACTACGGAAAGATTTTTAATTCATGTTGTGATATGATTAGATAATAAACAATAACTTTGGTTGGTGTCTGTAGAATAGAATGATAGCCAAAATGTATATTAAATATTGGGAAATGGGAAGAAAATGTTCAAATGAGAAGGGGAACAAAGGAGAGAGGGAGGGAGTAAGGAAAGAAGGGACCAGAAAAAAAGGAGAAAATAGAAGGAAAAAATGGAAACAAAGCTTTTGTAAAAAAGGAGGGGAAGAAGCAAGATATATCCCGTACAAGTGTAAATTCCCTGTGGTGAATGTTATCTTTATGTATATGAAATGTACCAATAAATGTTTTGCTTTAAAAAAAAATGGTAGCAAGGAAGAATGACAGGGTACTATTAGACTATTGGGAAGCTTTTGGTACAGATCAATGGTTCTTAAACAAGGTCCATTTTGTGCCCCACAAAACATTTGCCAATTCTGGAAAAATATTTGGTTGTCACAGCTGGGAAGGGATGGGTGCTGTTACCATCTCAGGGTAGGGTGGTCAGGGAGGATGATACATATTCTATGATGGACAGAACATATCCACCATAACAAAGATTATCTAGCCCAAAATATCAGTTGTACAGATATTGAGAAAGCAGGCACAGAGCAATTTACTTTTAAAATCTATTTTTATTATATGTAAATTATGGTGTTAATTTTTAATAAAAATGGTACAGATGGAAAGATGAATAAAACTGCAAGTATTATTTTGGTCCAAAATAGGGGAATAATACTAGTTGTTTTATACCTGCCTTACTTTTAGTTAACTGAATGCTTTCTCAAGCATTAGAGTTTCCCTATTTAAGAAAAAAAAATGGAGTCATAGCCTCTGCAAAATTAGAAGTCTCTAAATGTCAATTATTTGTTTGTTTGTTTTTGAAACAGGTTCTCATTATGTAGTTTATGCTGACCTTGAACTCAGTGATTCTCTTGCCTCAGCCTCCCAACTGGGATTACAGGGATGTGCCACCACATCTGGCTTCAATTATTCATTTTATGTACTTGATAGCCTACTTACATTAAGCTACTTTGAAAAAAATACAGTTTCTCTGGCTTTCATGTAATTGTAATGCAAATATGTGAATAATTCAAATTATTAACAAAGCCATCAGGCCTGATTGTTATAGGAAAAAAGTTATTTTTTTGAGCTTCATGAAGCAGAGTACACCAAGCAATTCACTGTAAATGTGTTGTCTGTCATAGTCTGTCTATGGATCATTAGAAACCAGAAGCTTCCATTCAGCCCATGCTTTGCTGATGTTGGATCAGTAGAATTGATTTCATACGAAAGGAATAAATTCATCGTGAAAGGACAGTCTGTCTATCTGTCTTATCTGTTTTTTCAATACCAAGGACTAAACATAGGGCTTCAAATGTGGTAGACAAGAAATCTACCACTGAGCTACACCTCTAGTCCAGTTTATTCTTTACGATGTGTTTTTCTTCTGGTAACTCACTATTATGAGAAAAAAATGTTTAAGAAAACCAAAACGTAAAGATTGAATGTATAGAATCTGATATACACTCTATTTAAAAATCTTTAGAACAATTAAAACATGCATCATACTTTTACAACTTTTGCAATTTTTTTTTTTTTTGCTCTTTATAATTTGGGTGTCTCATATGATATATAATATTGTGTGTCAAATTTATTTTACTTACTATTATGGTCTCAAGGTGCATCTAAGATTCTACAAAAGACTCAGGTTTATCTTCTTCTTTTTTTGGTGGTGCCAGGGATCAACCTCAGGATCTTGTGCTTGTTAGGCAGGTGTGGTGCCACTGAGCTAAATCCCCGGCCTAGGTTTATCTTTGTTAATGGTAGAGTAGTTTTCTGTTGTGTGTAAATACCATATTTTCATCATCCATTCATCTGTTGATGAATATGTAGGCTGCTTTGGAGATTTAGTTGTTAGGAATTGTCCTCTTATAAACATGGGTATACATGTATCACCATAATATGATGTCTTTAATTCTTTGGGTAAGATAAGTAGTAGAGGAATAGTAGGTCAAGTGGAATTTCTAGTTTTAATTTTTTGAGAAATCTCCATATTGATTTCTTTTTTTTTCCTCGTTGAGTTTATTGGTACATTTTAGGTATACAGTACAGTTACATTCATTATTGGGATCTTATACTTTACATGACAGGTCTTGGTTCTCATTTTTCCTTTGTCCCTGCCCTCCCTTCACCCCCATTTACAAACACTTTATTTCCATTTTTTCATTTTCTCATATTTTTTTCTTTTTCCTTATTACTTTTCCCCTACCCTTCCCACTTTCCCTACACCTTTAGCCCTTTTCTTCCTATTTCACATTGTCACTTATCTCATTAGGATCTTATGTACTGTTATAGTTTTTCACACCAGAAAAACTATTCAATATTTACACATATATGACTTATTTATTTCATTTAGGAGTATATCCTCAATATGTATCCATTTTCCTATGAATGAATCTAATTTCTCATTCTTTATGGCTGAGTAGTATTCCATTGTATAGAAAAACCACATCTTCTTTATCCATATTGATTTCCATAGTGGTTGTACTAGATTACATTCTTCCTAGTAGAAAGGTTTGTTTTTTTCCCCACAGCTTTTACCAGCACTTGTTAATTTGATTTTTGTGTGTGTGTGTGTGTGTGTGTGTGTGTGTGTGTGTGTGGTACCAGGGATTAAACTCAGGACCTTGGTGTGGTGCCACTGAGCTAAATCCCTGACCCTAATTTGATTTCTTGATGATGTCTATTGTTCCTGGGAGATGATGGAATCTTGGTGGTGTTTTAATTTGCATTTCTCTATGTATTTATTGGGAAGTACCTATTCATTTCACTTTCACATTTTTTGATTGGTTCCTTTATTTTGAGAGCCATATTTTTGAGTTCTTTATATATTTTAGATATAGTCTAGTGATTAAGAATGAGAGCATCTTATGCAATTGTTGATAATGGTAAGAGGATAGACTGTAGATACTACTAAAAAGCTTTTGTTTCATGCTCATTGGTTTTATTCTGTCATTCAGTAACAGTACTAAGAAATAGTATACACCTGCATATGTAGATTTATAATTATATTTTTGAGACCAAAGTGTTTGCTATATTCGTTATCCTCTTCTTGATGTCCTTTATCCTTATAGTGAAAAAAATTAACTGGATTTCTAGATTGTGAAGATTTTAATTCATGTTGTTACTACTTTAATACCTAGATATGTTTTTTCTACTACTTTTATGGGAATTTAGGCAGAAAAATAAAGCAAATATGCTTTAAAATATCTAATATTAAGAGAAAATTTGGTCATTTATGCTTTTTTGTTTGTTTTCCTCTTCTTAATATAGGAGATTTTTCAAGAGCTTGGGATGTTCTTCTTGACCATATACAATCAGCAGCACTCAGCAAAAACAATGAAGTATCTCTGGCTGCTCTGAAAAGCTTTCAAGAAATTTTACAGATTGTGTCCCCTGTCAGAGACTCAGATAAGCCTGAAACGCCTCCTGTAGTTAATGTGCCTGTGCCTGTCCTTATAGGGTCCATATCAGGCCCTGGCCTGAGCAGGCCATTTGTAAGAACAGATTCCATTGGAGAAAGACTGGGGAGATGCAGTAGCTCTGAGCTACCCATAGTTACTGATGAGCTTGAAGATTTGAATCTCTGGTGGGCTGTGTGGAATACCTGGTATAGAATTGGATCTGAAAGCACTAAACCTCCTATTACTTTTGATAAACTAACTTTTATTCCCAGCCAGCCTTTTCTGACAGCTTTAATTCAGATATTTCCAGCTCTGTACCAACACATAAAGACTGGTTTCAACATGGATGATTTGCAAAAGTTGGGGGTCATATTGCACAGTGCTGTTTCAGTTCCAATAAGTTCAGATGCATCCCCTTTCATTCTTCCATCTTATACTGAAGCAGTTCTGACAAGTTTACAGGAAGCTGTACTTACAGCTTTAGATGTTCTCCAAAAGGTAATATAATTTTTATGGCTATTTAAGCAATAATATATATAGTTTACAGATTTTTTAAAAATCTTGCTATATATTTTGGGGGATAAATTCTGGATCATCAAGAATGCTGTACATTTATTTTGAGATAAATTGAGATTGTTAAGATTTAATTAGTTACTTTTAAAACTTGAAGTTTTCTGATATTTTCAGAAAGGTAATTCAGATCTGTTTTGAGTCTTTAAGAAGCTCCTTGCATCCTCTTGTTATTTTTCACAATTCACAAGCATTTTTGGTTAGTCCATGCAGCTCTTCAGAAGAGGATATAATATTGGGGATAATAACTTTAATAAGATGCCTTTATGTTTAGAAAGTTAATAAACTTTGGCATATTTTGATATTTCATCTGTACTAAGATTTATTTGTGACATTGTTGAGAGCCTATGTTTAGAAAGGTTTAATGTATAAAATATTTTTCTAAGATATTTAAAAAGTAGATATATTTAAGATGTGTATTTTATTATTGTAAAAAAAAAATAAACATCTAAAAATCATTCAGCAAATCCAGATTTGGAACCAAGGCTAGGTAGTAATAAAAGGGTTTCTGGATTACCAAGAAAATTGGTAGCATAATTCAGAACTGTCAAAATGCTAAAGAACAAACAAAAACTGAACATGCCACCCATTTTAACAAAGTAGCTAAAACATTCTACTAAAATTAAAATAGAAGTAGAGTCTTAGTGTGCATGCTACCAGTAGTCATTTATTAATGAAAATCGTATTTTCAGTTAAATGTTTTATTTTTACACAGTTGGAGAGATGAAAACTTTCACTGTAAGAATAGTGATATTTCTGTTAACCACCATGATAACCTTTAATTTCCTCTGGAGGTAGTCTATCAAAGCAGTAATTTTCACTTAATCCAAGGTGTATTGTACAGGGAAACAATATGGAGAAACTTAAAATTTAAGAAAATTTGTCAGTTAAAAAAATTTATTGTATGGATATTGGTTTCCATAATTGCAATCAAAGTAATTGCTTTTAACTTGGAAAAAATGAAATCTATCAATAATTACTTTTTCTCCCACTTGGGCTTAAAAATAAATTACTTATCAATTATTCTAGAGGGAATGAAGATTTTTTTTTTTCCATCAGAAAAGAAAATCTTAAGCTTTTTGGGAATTCTTATAAGTCTAACTCAAATATTTGATTCAGATTTTTTATCTGTTTATACAGAAACATAAGAAAGAACAACTCCGTAACTTCTTTTTTAAGAGAACATGATTTTACTTTTTTAAAAACACTGTGTAGGTTAGCCAGGGATTTTAGCTCAGTGGTTCCGCCACCTGCCTCGCAAGTGCAAGATCCCAAGTTTGATCCCCAGTACCAAAACAAAAAACAAAAAAACACTGTTTGGCGCTGGGATGTAGCTCAGTGGTGGGGATGTAGCCCACTGGTAGAGCATTTGCCTAGCATGCATGCATGAGGCCCTGAGTTCAACCTTCAACACTACAAAAAAAAAGAAAAGAAAAGAAAACATTGTTAACTAAAAATTCTGCTTTAGCAATGGAATTACTCATACTAGGTACTATCAGTTTCAGTCTGAAAATTAGGAAGTTTTATTGTTCATTTATATTGATTGTTACCATTTTTCATGATTATTAATTTTTACTCTAGTCATTTTTCTCTGCATTTATCAAATTGATACTTCATAAACCTGGAATATAATATCTTTATTATCTTCTAACAAAAAATTAGCATATATCAGAATTTTTTTAATTCTTCTAAGGCATTGGAATGTTTTGTTTTGTCTTCTTTTTGAACTCAAGGCCTTAAGCTTGCCAGGCAGGCATTGCTGAGCTATATCGCCAGCAATTGGAATGTTTTTGCCAAGCAGAATTTACTAGCTTTGGGACTGTATCTTGAAAAATAAAGTACCCAAGGAAAAAATTTTTTTATTTTTTTTAAATTTTATTTATTCATTTATTTATTTATTTTTGAGACAGAGTCTCCCTGTATAGTTCAGGCTGGCCTTGAACTCTGTGTAGTCAAGGCTGGCCTTGAACTTGCAAAGATCTTTCTGCCTCAGCCTCCCAAGTATGAGGATTACAAGCGTGCACACTATGTCCAACTCAAGAAAACATTTTATTGCTTAAAACCTATTTCTCTTAAGGAAAAAATTATTTTCGATTTCCTATCTTTTCCTAAGAGGAGCTTCTGTGTTGTTTTTTCTTGGTACCGTTGTTCCGTCTGGCTTCACAGCCTCAGTCTTGGTTCTCAAAGGGTTCTGAGCCACCATCATTTAGTGATGTGTGCTTATTTTAGTTGCTTATCTGCTCTGTGTATGTACTGTACTGTAAGTTCTGAGGCTAAGATACATCTGTCTTATTGATTGGGAAACTTAAAGTCAGATGTCTGGATGCCATATCTAGCAGGGCTGCTGGAGTTGTACTTAGGGGACACCATCACATAGTGTCCCTGTGTAATGAGGCCCTGTGTTGTACATAATATAGAGCAGTTTTCTTAATCTTTCTTCCTTCAGCTTGTTCATCCCTAAAGTAAAAATAATACATCTGTAACTTTTTGTTGTTAAAATAAGATATTTATAAGGTATTTAGTACCTGGTGCAAGTTAAATGTTCAGTAAATGTTACCTCTTCTTATTTTTATGACCAAGTCATCTAGCAAAGGCCTTAGTACATGGTAGGTATTGAAGCATTTGTTAAATGAGTTGGTGAGTGAAATTTCTTAAGCCATGTCAGCAGTTAAAAGTTCACTTTCTTTTGTTTTGCGTAGTTTTCAAGTACTAAAAGAAAATATTGTCCAGATTGCTTATTCATTCTCAGTTTTTAGGCTAAAATTTGTTATCAAATTTATCCTATAGATTTTTCTGACATATACTTAGGAATACTGAAAAAAAGCCATGAAATATATACTCAAAATCACTGTTGCCTCCAAATAAATAGTAATATATAGTTTTCTCAAGTATCCACATTGTCTTTTTAAGTTATCAAAAATAAAAGAACTCACTTAGGATAATTTGGTCTCTTCCACAATGATTCCTATTGTTTCCTTCTAAGAGTTGAGATCTAGCAAGATGTTAATAAAGAAGAAAATAGAAGCAGTAGAAGCAGTCAGCAGAGAAATTTTGAGTCTGTATAAACTTTATTTGAGCTCTCTTTTCACTCTCTGAGTAAAATAATCAAATATTAAAAGTTAGATGTTTTTACTGTACTTTTTTACATTGTATCCATAGGATCATACGTTCTGATTGCACTAGTTTGTCTACATTTATATCTCAGTGCAGTTTTATCTAAAATTTTACTTACAAATACATGGTGCATCTGTGAGGCAAAAAATATGTAAAACTAATTTGTTATCCACTAAATTGAAAATAGATTTCATAAAAATATAAATTTTATACTTTACTGTTAGAAGAGTACTGTAAATATTTTAAATGCTTTCCTAGCATGTGCAAGGCCCAACATCATAAATACACAAATAAATGAATGCTTTGAATTTTGATTTCATTTATTGATAGTATACTCAAAATACCTTCTTAAGTTTAGAGTAATTGTATTTTTAATTTTGATGCCCTTAAACATTTTTGCCACAGAAAAAAAATCATTACAATAAAATATGAAAGTGAGAATTGAAAGCATACTTATTGCTAGAAAAATATATAAGCCTAGACTGTATGTATTACAAACATGTAATAGTAAAAATTGTATAAATATATGTAAGCAAATAAGATGTATTTTAAATACTTTTGAAGTACTGTAATTAAAATCTGTAGTGTCCACATAATGCATTTTATTCTTCTATCAAATTATTTGAGGCAATAAAGTTATTTTATCAATTTACATTAAAATTTTGTTTTAAATCAAATACATTATACATTCAGAAACGTCAGACATTACACACAGCCTGTTAAAAATTAATGTGTAATTTCTATCAGAAACATTTTCATAGATGATTTAATTTCCTAAGTATAAGGCATGTGATTCTTTGTTAACATCAGTCGATTAGGCATGGTGCAGAAATCAGCTCTCATTTCAGTGAACTGATGACATTTAATAGAAGCTGATGTCAGAGCAGCGTTCTTGATCATCTGTATTAGATGGCTGTATTAGTGAACAAATGGTCAGAATGTAGAGCCTTAGTCTCTTTATGTGCTTGCCCCTTTTCTAGTGTATTGAGGAACAAATCATACCTTATTAAATAGCATTTAAAAATAAATATTATTTTAGCAATTATGAATATCAGAAGTCTGAAATGAGTCTTAGGAGAATAATAAATTAGTGTCAAGAGGGCTGCGTTCCTTCTGGAAGCTCAAGAGTGTTTCTTGGCTTTCTCTAGCTGCTTTTTTTTCCCCCCTTCTCTACCTTGTAGCTGACTGCATTCTTTGGCTCATGAAATCTTCTACCATCTTTAAAGCACATCACTCAAGTTACTGCTTCTGCCTTTGTATCTCCTTTATCTGGCTCTCATCTTCTTGCCTCCCTCTGATAAGGAGGCTTGCAATTATATAGAGCCTACTTAGCTAATCCAGGAGCATCTCCCTCCCTCACCTAGATCCTTAACCTAATCACAACTCCATAGACTCTTCCCATAAAAGGTTGCATAGTCACAGCTTCTGCAGATTGGATTATGGGTCATTAGTTAACACTTTTAGGCTATACTTTAATAATAGTTTTAGATAGTTTGAATGTTTTATAAGTTATATAAAAGATTTTAATAAAATTCAAAATAGCATAGCCCTTACTTAGGTTAAACCAGTGGATACACAGTAAAAACTTTACTGGAGTTCAGATTATGCATTCTAATGTTTCTATTTTGCTTTTATAGGCCATCTGTGTAGGACCAGAAAACATGCAGATAATGTATCCAGCTATATTTGACCAGTTATTGGCATTTGTAGAATTTTCCTGTAAACCTCCACAGTATGGACAACTAGAAACAAAGCACATTGCAAATGCAAAATACAATCAGGTAATTTAATATAAATTATATTTATTTTGTAAGATTTAATGGCCTATAAATAGTTCCACTTAAGATAGGCTTCAATTCCTTTCAAAACTTTTTTTAATTCACATACAAGTTTACATGCATCTGTTAATAGTTTAAGCCTAACAAAAATACATTTGGCAAACCATTGCTATGTTCCTTTTCTCTTATTTATGACTTTCCTCTCTTAAATGGTCCTTCAAAAAGTTTGACCTTTCATGCTTATCTACAGTACATATTCCTTGAAAACTATGAGTTCTTCTGTATCTTTTCTTCGGCTGCCCAATCCCACTACAAAATAGCTTCTAACCCATAATCCTAAACTTACCTAAAATATGTATCTACAATACAAGATGAAGAAATCTGTGTGTGCTAAATGAGAAGTATGTGCACTACTGGTGTGGAATTTAGTTGGATTTTACATAATATAGGTTTTTAGTAATAGTAGGCAAATTTTAACTTTTATTTTGGCTTAGGGAAAAAGTAAATTTCTGCATGCATGCTCATGCTGATTTTTTTCACTCAGCATGAAAATTATAATTTTATATAATCCGAAAAGTAGTTTCAATATGTATTAACTTTTCTCATTCTATTTGTCTTGCAACACAATGGAATCACAATAGATCCAACTATTTGCACCGGTGAGTTAAATTTCCTAAAATTGTCCTAACCTATGGGCAACAAATAAAATACATCTTTCCCAGTTCTTCGTAGAATGCTCTATATATTCTTTTTCTGATAATTTTTAACTTTTGCCTGGGTGAAAATTATTTTTCATGAAATATTTGAAAACTTTGCATGTAATATAATCTGACCTAAAACCAAGGCCTGAACTTTAAGACAAAGAAGTTTTCTCTTTGAAAATAATATGATTTCCTTTAATCTCATTTATCTTTAACTCCATGTGAAAATATTACTTTCTAGGCAGAATGGGTAGCCTTGAATTATGTACCATTTGCTGAAAAGTCTTTAGAAGTAGTTGTGGATTTATACCAAAAAACGGCCTGTCATAAAGCAGTGGTGAATGAGAAAGTTCTCCAGAATATTATTAAGGTATTTTTTCATTTCTACACTTTTATTTGATGCTGGCAGTATTGTTGAAATGATATATTCTTTAGGTAAAAAAATCATTATTCTGAGATAAGTAGGGACTATTTATATCATTTATAATGACTTTATTCAACAATCATGAATTATATTTATCAAGCCATTTTTCTAAGCTATGAGGTCTTTCTGATGAAAAATATCTTAAAATAAGTGCAGTAGCTTTATTATATTTCTTAAATTTTGCTAGTAAAACAATGAGGATTTAGTGGTATATCTTTTGTAGCTGGGTGTAGAGCTCAGTGGTAGAGCATGTGCTTAGCATGTACAAGGCCCTGGATTCAATACTAAGAACCCAATAAATAAAGGTATATGTTTCTAAGAAGCAGAATTTGAGGACCATGTGTGAGAGTCATTCTAGAAAATAACACCTTTTCTCAATGAAAATAACTATGCTATTATTTTTTCTCTCTAGCTTAGCATTTTGTTTTAAAGTAAATTTGTGTTGTTTTAATTAATATTTGTCTTAAACTATCTTTATTTTCAGACTCTTAGAGTTCCTCTCAGTTTGAAGTATTCCTGCCCTTCTGAAAGTACATGGAAACTAGCAGTGTCTTCTCTCCTCAAAGTTCTTTCTATTGGGCTACCTGTTGCTCGGCAGCATGCTTCTTCTGGAAAATTTGACAGTATGTGGCCAGAACTAGCCAACACTTTTGAAGACTTTCTCTTTACCAAAAGGTCAGCTTATTAGTTTTTAAAGATAAGACAGTCTTTCAGGAAGTAAAACATTATATTTACAATTGCTCTGAAAATAGTTTTTTCTTGATTCATTAACAAAATGATTAGTAAGAGTGCTACCTTCTATATAGACTGCAACAATTTAGGCATTTATCCACTAGATACATTATCTGTGAGCAGTGCAGTTTGTTGTTCTTCTCAGAGTTTTTGGTTGTTTATATTGGTTCATTCTTAAATCCTTTAACATAATTTATACTTGCTCTATGACCCTTTGAATAACCATACAGTTCTCTGTGAAATTTCCCAACTCTTTTGTTCTCCAGTTTGCTTTGGCAAGGGAATACAATAACAAAGACAATACAGATAAAATAAAAACCAACTAAGGGCTGGGGATTTAGCTCAGTGGTTCTGCTGCCTGCTTTGCAAGCTCAAGGTCCTGAGTTCAATCCCTGTTACAAAAAAAAAAAGCAGTGAGTAGATGAAAAGAATGGCTTTGGACATCACTGATAGCTGTCATAAGCACACAGTTTAAATAAGAAAAAAACTCACGAAATTGAAAAATATGAGGACTATATTCTGGTAACTATATGAGGTCTGTTAGAAATTTATCCAGTCAAACTCTGAATACCAAAGCATGGTACTTATCCTATAGGAGACACAGTAGGTTAATTGGACATTGTATAATTTATGCCTTGTGGATGGGTACACTAAAAATCATTGAGTACTGTGCTTGATACTGCAGCACGTAATATTTAAAAAACCATTGAGTACTAAGCCAGGCACTAAGCCAATAGTCTCAGGAACAGTACTGGGTAAATGAGGCAGGAGGGTCACTTGACCTCAGTAGTTTGGACCAGCTTGGGCAATATAGCAAGACCCTGTCTCTTTAAAAAAAAAATCACTAAGGCCAGGGATTTAGCTCAGTGGTTCCACCACCTGCCTCGAAAGCACAAGGACCCAAGTTCGATCCCTGGTACCAAAAAAAAAAAGAAAAAATCACTAAGTACTGTCCAAAAGAATTGAAAGCACATGTTCACACAAAAAACTTGTGTGCTAATATTTATGGCAGTATTATTCACAATAGCTAAAAAGAAAAATAAATGTCTATCAGTTGATTAGTGAATAAATTAAATATAGGATATACTTATGTGTATACGTATTATTGTTCAGCCATAAAAGTAATTGAAGTACTGAAGGATGCTATAACATGGACTTACCTTTAAAACAAGTAGTAGAAATTAGACACAAAGACCATACTAGTCTATATCTAATTTATTTATATGATCTACCCAAAATAGGCAACTCAAGAAAAGAAAAAATAGACTCTTAGTTCTCAAAGGTTGGAGAAAAGTGGGGGCTGGTAGCTGCTAATTGGTACAGTTTCTTTTGGGGGTGGTGAAAATGTTCTGGAATTAAAATGGTGATGGTCATATAACTTCATATATATATATATATATATATGTGCATGTGCGCGCGCGTGTGTGTGTGTGTGTGTGTTTGCACGCGTGCGCTATTTTTCCATTAAGTTTATTGGTACTTTTTAGGTATACATTACAGGTACCAGGTACATTCATCACTGGGATCTTGTACCTTTACATGACAGGTCTGGTTCTTATTTTTTCCCCATACCCCTGCCCTCCCTTCACCCCTCCACCCTTCCCTATTTTCAAAGACTTTGTTTCCAATTTTTCCTTTTCTCATATTTTTTCTTTTCCCTTCTTTCCTTTCCCCTACCCTTCCCATTTCCTCTAGTCCTTTAGCCCTTTTCTTCCTGTTTGAACTTTATTTACACTTTCAGTTTTTCACACCAGAGAAACTATTTGGTATTTACACATGTGTCCTATTTATTTCTCTTAAGAGTAAGGCCTCACTGTACATCCATTTAGCTATAAATGTCTACTTTCATTCTTTATGGCTGAGTAGTGCTCCATTTTATAGACAAACCACAGTCTCCAGTTGATGAGTACTTGAACTGTTTCCAAGTTTTAGCTATTACAAACTGTGCTGCTCTAAACGTGGGTGAGCATATATTACTGTGGAATGATTCTTTTAATTCTTTTGGAAAGATCCAGCAGAGGAATAGCTGGGTCATATGGGACTTCTAATCCTAGTTCTTTGAGGTATCTCCATATTGATTTCCACAATGGTTGCTCCAGTCTGCACTCCCACCAACTTTGGAGAAGGGTTCTTTTCTCCCCACAACCCCACCAACATTTGTTATTGGTTGATTTCTTGATAGCAGCCATTCTTTCTGGGATGAGGTGGAATTTCAGTGTTGTTTTCATCTGCATCTCTCGAATGACCAGTGATGTTGAACATTTTTTTCATGTGTTTATTTGATGCTTTTACTTGTCTGAAAAATGTCTGTTCATTTCAGATGCCCATTTTTGAATCAGGTCTTTAAATTTGGGAGGTCTCGTTTTTATATACTCTAGATAGTAGACCTTTGAGGAACAATCGTACACTTTTAACAGGTGAATTTTATAGAATGTGAATCATATCAGTTGCAAAAATTTTAATATACCATACAGAGAAAATTGACAAAAAGTATAATATTAGTTTTCAGGTTTTTTATATTATTTTATTTATTTGTTTGTTTGTTTGTTTGCTTGTGATACTAGGGATGAAACCAAGGAGTACTCTACCACTGAGCTGCATCTCTAGTCTTTTTTATTTTGAGATAGGTTTCTTGCTGTTGTTCAGTTGACCAGGCTGACTTTGACTATGGTGCTCCTGCCTCAGCCTCTTCAGTAGCTGGGATTAATAAAGGCATGTTCCACTTTGCCCAAACCTTTTAATTCATGAAATTAGTTTTTTTTTTAAATTACTGTTGTACTCTTCAAACTTGAAGTGTCTTACATTGCCCATTTATTGTCCATCTCCCTTGTAATTTATAGGCAAATTATTTTAATAAGCATTTTAAGTTTCAGCCAATGTTTTGGATATGCTTTAGTAAGGATACTAAATGAAAAAGCATTCGTTTAGATTCTGGCATCAGAATATTCACATTGAGCAAAACAGTTTCCTGTTTTTATAGATTGTTGGAATTAAGAGTGAACCTTTCAGTTATTAGTTTTGTGTGTTACCTTATTATTTCTTCATACTTTAATAACCAAGTTCAGTATTTCTTTTTATTTATTTATTTTTTATTTTTATTTAAATTGAATTTATTGGTACATTCTAGGTAGACAGTACATTACATTCATTACTGGGATCTTGTACCTTTAACATGCCAGGTCTTGGTTCTCATTTTTTCCCGTTGTCCCCACCGTGCCTTCACCCCCTCCTCCCCTCCCCACCTTCAAACACTTTAATTCCATTTTTAAATTTTCTCATATTTTTTTCCTTTTTCCTTATTCCCCTTTCCCTATCCTTCTCACTGTCCCTACACCTTTGGTCCTTTTCTTCCTATTTCACGTTGCTAATTATCCCAGATGAAAACAACACTGAGATTTCACCTCATCCCACAAAGAATGGCTGCTATCAAGAAATCACACAATAACAAATGTTGGCAGGGTTGTGGGGAGAAAGGAAACCTTCTCCATTGTTGGTGGGAGTGCAGACTGGTGCAACCACTATGGAAATCAATATGCAGATACCTGAAAGAACTAGGCTTAGAGGTTCCATTTGACCCAGCCATCCCTCTGTTGGGTATCTTTCCAAAAGAATTAAAAGAATCATGCCACCGTGATATATGCGCACCCATGTTTATAGTGGCATAGTTTGTAATAGCTAAAACTTGGAAACAGTATTTCTGATATATGATACAAATAGCATTACCATTATTAGTGTGTTTCTAAAAAAAGGCTTGTTACTTTCTTATTGATAATCCATCATTAGTTAACCTCTACCATCATCACAAATCTTTTAATACTACTAAACACATTTCTTCATTATAAATTAAACATGATTTTTATCTCTCAAGATTCAAATATGATGTATGAAACTATTTTGTTAGTAGTGTTTTTTAAATTGTTGCTCTTATTTTAGGTGTGGGAACTTGTTTTTGAAATTTTCCTTCTAGCTCTTACTACTGGATTATAAAGTTCATAGGTCTTACACACCACAATGTAAGTTCTGTAATACACACACTGAGTCTAGCTTTTTTACAACTGGCTTTTCAGGACCAGATATAAAGCCTGATTCAAGGTAGTTGGTATTCAGTAGATATTTAGTGAGTGCAAAGCATCCAAGCCAAGCAAACCAAGGTCCATTGCCACTATAGCCTTGGGTACAAAACTATATACTATACTAAACCCAGATGCACTAATAATTTTTATCTCTATAATATAAGAGAGTAATATAGGCTCAAATGTCAGACACATCCAGGTTGCCATTCAATTTTGGGTGTTCTTGTGCATGTAATTATCCATTTGAAGCTTCAGTTTTCTGTTGATTACAGAACAAATATATTTACTTCATGTAATTGTTGAGGACCTATGAAATTAATACACATAAAGCTCTTATTATAGTAGCTGATTTTTAAATTTTCATTGTCATTATTTTTGTAAAATTTTTATTCTGTTCTTAGCTATATTTATTTATGTATTTATTTGGTACTGGGGATTGAACTTGGGACCTTGCACCTGCAAAGCAGGCAGCAGAACCACTGAGCTAAATCCCCGGCCTTCTCAGCCATTTTTAAATAGTTAATATTTCACTATTTACAAATTTATGATCATTTTACTAATTCTTATGAGCCAGTATCTGGACTCCATCTTGTGTTTCTCAGAACTATTGATTTCCTTTGCTTTTGCTAGAACAGTGTTTTGCTGTAGAAAATCTAAGTCAGTCCTCTTTGATAGATATTTTCTGTTGTTACTATAAAGAACTTTAATGCATTTCAATTAATGCAAATTAATGATTAATGATCTGTCTCTGAGTGAATAAGTTAGCCACTTGATTGAGGTGTTTTAAGTCATTACAACATGTGAATTCAAGTATCACAATGGTAATTTTTGCTGTAGTTGTAGATGATAATAGTATCTTTACTTTTCCTTTTTTCTTTCATAGTACTGAAAGAAGTTTAGTTATACAGATTTTCAGTTTTGGATTGGACCAGGTGTTTTCATATTTGGAGTTTTATGTTTGCATGTCTCATCCTGGGTGGGAAAATATAATTTTTTATCATTTGAATATATATAGTCTATTTGTCTCTTCACAGTGTAATTTACCTTTAAAAGTCAAAAGTTTTTTGTTTACATTTTTCAGCATACCTCCTGATAATCTCTCTATTCAAGAATTTCAAAGAAATGAAAGTATTGATGTTGAGGTGAGAAAGCTATTTAAAACATTTTTCTGAGATCATTTGTAAAACCAAATAGAAATGTTGAAACTATAAAACTGCTGAAAGAATAAGGTAATGTATGTAATAGGTTAAGATCAAACCTAAAAAGCATTGAAACTCTCACAGATAAAAGATTGATTTTAGTCACTCACATTTTAGAAATAATTCCCTTAGATGTAGTAGTCTTGTACCACGTGCATGTGCCTGGATGCTTAGTTGGGTTCATTTCATAAGTTTAAAGTAAATCCATCAGTCAGTGAATATGGATTCGAGAATTTAATTTCTATTTTGGAAAAAATAGGTGTCTGTCTGTATTTTAGACTGGTTGCAAATAATACATTTTGGGCCAAGGATATAGCTCAGTAGTAGTACAGTGCCTGCCTGACAAGCGTGAGGCCTTGAGTTTGATTCCTGATATAATTCAGTCAATCGATCAGTCAATCATTTAAATAATATTTGAAAAAGTGGTTTTTTTGTTGGTGGTGGGGCCTGAGGATTTTTTTTTTTTATTTAAGGTAGGGGAACATCTAAGTAAATCAAATAAAAAATCATTTTAAAAACCTAGAAATTATTGCATATTTACAAAATACTGCCTTTTGTATAGTATTTATCTTACTGTGAACTTTTTCTTTAGAGGGCAAAATAATAAACTGTAGATATACTATTGGTAAAATCTACAGTTTATTTTATTAGATAATAAGCTATTTTTTAAAAAAAGGTATTTGAGAAAAGTGCATATAGCTTTTATATCCCTTATAATTCATACTTTTGGGCAATAAAAATTATTAAATCTTAATTTTGGATATTTCACTCAAATATGGCTAAGTTTCATGTGCAGTTTTTCTCTGTAACTGTTTGTAGTTATCACACTGAAGATCAGCGTGTGTCAAAATGGTGTCACAGTAAACAGTAATACTATTAACTGTTTTATAATTGGAGCAATGAGCGAAAATAGACCAGTGTGCATGTTAATACTTAACAAAGTATTCATGAGCCAGGGATTTAGCTCAGTGGCACCACACCTGCCTCACTAGCACAAGGTCCTGAGTTCAATCCCCAGTACTGGAAAAAAAAAAAAAAAAGTATTCATGTACTTCTACCAAGGAGAATTCTTTAATTGATTTTCCTTTAAAATGAAATAAAATTTTACTCTAGAAATTTCCTGGAAAAATATGCACTGTGTTTGACCTTCCCTTTTTTTTCAGGTAGTTCAGCTGATCAGCACTGAGATACTACCTTATGCCAATTTTATTCCTAAGGAATTTGTTGGTCAGATAATGACAATGCTTAACAAAGGCTCAATACATTCTCAGTCCTCTTCATTTACAGGTATGTAATTTTAATTATTTTTTTAGGTGTTAGGAAGTTCTTTAGAAGCTGACAGAAAATGTTTAACCCTGTTATTATGGTAAATATGAATTGGAGAGGTAATTTTTAAGAATGTAAAATAGAACATTAAGCTTTGTGAGGAAAAATATGAATATCTGGTGGGTATAGTGTTTATTTGCTAGTCATGATTAGTTATGTTACATAGCACTTACAGAATCTGATGAAGTATTACAGGCTGACAAGTTACCAGTTTTGTGAAGTCAGAGATTATTGAGAGTCATTATAAGTTAGGAAAAATAGGGATATATTCTGCCACTACGTATGTTGGTTAACTTCTCTTCAGTGTTAGTTTTATAATCTTGAAGATGAAGATATTAATACTAGCTTTTTTCGGGACTATTGGGAAAAAATAAGATGCCTTAAGTAACATTTGTGGAGGGAACAGGCATTTAGTGAATAGCTGCTATGTATAAAATGTTACGCTAGAATGTTACTTCTTGATCCTCTAAATATTTCTGTGTGGATAGGTATTCTATATTAGAGAAGGTGAAAGCACTTTAGTATAGTTGAAAAAATTGCTCACATTTTAAAGGATAGAGGTCAAATTCATACTTTGAAAAACTACATTGTTCTTTTCATTACATCATTCTGCCTTAAATGCTAATGTATTTTGCTTTTTGCTGTTATTTCCTTTATATAAAATTGTTTTCAAGTTATAAATGTAATGGTGGGATTATAGTTAGAATTTTCTTTGAAATGATTTAAAGACTGTAAGTTTTTGCAATACATAGCAGGTCTTAGAATTTATGGGAGCCATGACTAATTCTGTGCTGCTTACTTTAAAGAGCAGTTTTACTGTATAGGGGCTGGCCACTAGATGTCTCTCTCATTACTTACTTCACAAATTAGTTTTATCCTAGTCCTGATTTAAATCTTAAAAATTGGCATAGTAACATGCAAATTTAACAAACATGAGAAATCTCAGAGGGTAAAAAATTGAAGTCCACTTATTTTAATGTAGTCAAATTTTTATTAAGAATGTATAAATTTTTCTACATACTTTTAATAAAATATGCAGTAAGAATTAGGTACAAATATCCTAAGATAAATGAGGATTGAGTTTCAAGTATAATTTTTCTGATAATATATATTCCTCACTATTTATTGTACAAATTTACCAAGACAAAAAACTTAATGGCCATTCTTCCAGTTATGTTACTTACCATAAGGCACAAATATTTTCTCCTCCGTCTTCAAGTTTTCTTTAACAACATACATACAAAGTCATTCCTTATTAATCAGGGCCAGTTTATGAACACAGAAGTTCCTGTAAACATTTTGGACCTCCACTCTGAAGTATGAGCTGACTGCCAAAGTTCACAAATGTGAAAGAGAAAGACTGAACAATGAAGAGGAAATAAAAGAAACCGGAAGGAAACAGATGCAATACAGAACCATAAAAAATGTAAAAACATCGTACTATGAGAAAGTTTAAGAGAAAAAGATTTCATACTTATGAAACAAAAAGTTTCTGAAAAAGGAACAATAAAAACCAGAAAGAAGGCTGGGGATTTAGCTCAGTGGTTCTGTTGCCTGCCTCGCAAATTCAAGGACCCGAGTTCTATCCCCGGTACCCCCCAAAAAAACAAAGAATTCAGAAACACTGAAAACATGATAGCTGAAATAAATTCAGTCAAGGGTTAGAATAAAACATTAGCAAATAATCCAGAAAATAGAACAAAGACCAAAAAAAAGAATAATATGAGAAGAAAGAAATAAGTAAATGAAGGCTGAGAAATAAGCTAAAGCTGATGTTCCAACATCTGACAAGAAAGAACAAAAAATTAGAAGAAATTATCAAATAAATTGAAGAAACATACCTCCAAATTAAAAATGGTCACTTAATATCCTGAACAAGTGAAAGGCAAAAGATGCTCAGGCACATAATCATGAATATCAAAATACCTGAGATAAAAAGATCATGAAATATTTCCCCCCAAAAAATCCAAAATAACATTAGAATATTTTCAGTAGCAATGTTGGATGCTAAAGACATAAAACAGTAATTTTAGAGTTATAAATAAAAAAGGATTGGCATTTTGTACTTAGGCACACTGTTGGTCAAAAACAAGTATAGAATAGTAATCCTCAATTTCAGCAGCAACATAATGGAGGACAAGCTATACTCCAGAGTTTCTATTTCAGGAAGACGAAGGTGAATCATGGAGAGTTCACATTTTTAACAATGCTGTGGTGATGGTGATCTTGCTAGATACCACATTTTTTTGGTACTGCAGTGAAATAATGACATTTGCCTAAGTAGGTTTACTTTCTATCGATTGTTTCTTAGGAAGTTACTTCAGAATATACTCTATGATAACAAAAAAGATAAATCAAGAAAGCAGAAAACAGGAAATCTAGGAAGCAAGACCTGACAGAGGGGAGAATAGAAATAATTCCCAGGGTGATGGCCATAGACTACTTTTGTGTTATGACTAGACAGCACAACTAGAGAACTGGAGCAGAAGTCATGTTCCAGAAAAGTTGTTGCCAGAAGAGGAGAAAAAACATGTCATTATTGCAAGTTGGACTCATAGAAAACTGTTGAGAAGAAATGATAAGAGTAGACAGACTTTATGCATGCCATAGATTGTTCATAGATGTCTTTCATCAGATTGAGTAATTTCTTCTATTCCTAGTTTGCTAGAATTGTTATAACATTTTTAACCATCAAAAATTAATTTTACAGAAGCAGAGATTGATATTCGTTTGAGAGAAGAATTTTCTAAAATGTGTTTTGAAACATTACTTCAGTTTTCCTTCAGTAATAAGGTCACAACACCTCAAGAAGGCTACATCTCACGAATGGCACTCTCAGTGCTTCTAAAGAGATCTCAGGATGTTTTACATCGCTATATAGAGGATGAAAGATTAAGTGGTAAATGCCCTCTTCCAAGGTATATTTTTTGTTTTATTACAAAAGGAAATGCACTGATATAATCATTAGTTACAAAGAGATCTGAAAACCAGGTGTTTTCATGAATGATTTAGACTAATCTGACACTATTTACTATGGTTTTACCTATCTCAGTGTAAATATTCATAGGTCTCACCGCAGCTATAATAATTGTTTTATTATGGGATACTTTTTCAGATCCTTGGAGGTTGTGTTATATGATATATATGCCAAATTACCTTTTTGAATTTGAAGTTTTTGAATTCTAAAACATATCTACCACATTTCTATGTAAAGAATTATGAGTCTTAATGATTATATAATAATATTTCTCTCCAATGAAAATAATAAATTATATCCGAAGAATGTGATCTTATATAGTTACTTCTAGGCTTCTCTCTTTGTTAGCTACCATATGTTATATTTTCCTTTTATCTAATCTCCTTGATCTGGCCCTTGGACCTATACATACAGATTTCCTTCTCATCTATCCAAGTTGTTTCAGTGGAAGGGGCACCAGGCCTTTCTGTTAAGCCAAGATTAATCAAAGCTAGGGTATGGACCAGAATTCATGAAATAAGTGGAGGAAACAAAATAAGATGAGAGGAAACATTATCAGTCAGGAAAGAGGAAAGTCATCTTGCTTTCTGTTTCATATGGCAGTAGTGGAGAGGCAGGTCTTTGTTCACATTCTTATTTGCTTTATAACGAATTTCTGGAGTTGGAATTGACTCAAAGAATTCAGACATTTTAATACTTTTCCCCAAGGCTGTATGAATGCCCTTTCTTCCATCTTTAGCATTTTGAAATGACTTACCAGTTTATCATTTTTATTTTCCTAATTTGATAAATGAGAAATAGTCATATAATAGTTACTATTTATTTTTACTTGCCAACGTTTATTAATCATTCTTAATTTTTTAGGATACAGCATATTTTGAATTTCTAGAACATAAAATGCAGCTCTCCTCTTCAAATTTATATGTTTAAAAAAATCCCATGCAAAATATAGTTGCTAGTAATTTGATTATGGGCTTTGTTAAAAATTGACTAATCAAAAAATTGATTAATCAAAGTTAATTCTTTTTTTCCTTTTATTGAGTTTATTGGTACATTTAAGGTATACAGTACAATTACATTAATTATTGGGATCGTGTACCTTTATATGACAGGTTTTGGTTCTCATTTTTTTCCCCTTGTCCCTGCCCTCCCCCCCACCTCCCCTCCCCATCTACAAACACTTCATTTCCATTTTTGCATTTTCTCA